GGAGGGCCTGAACGGAGACCTGGTCATCTCCTATGACGTCCACAGGCAAAAGTCCATAGGAGATCTCAAGGTGCACTTCCACCCTCCTCCTGTCATATCTTTATCTATCTTGTTAAACAACTTAACCACTTAGTATTTTCTTACCTCTGCAGAGGTCAGGGGTGTATTTTGTCCATCACTTTGCTCCCAGTGACCTACAACGCATTCCAAAGAATGTGGTCTTTGTCATCGATCACAGTGGTTCCATGCATGGCAGGAAAATGGACCAGGTGCGTGTTGCTTGTTATGTTATAAAGCAGATAAATAATTTACAGTTAAGTGGTGTACAGATACAGTAGTGCATAGTCGCATAGTCTCATCTCATCTTCAACCGCTTATCCGGGGTCGGGTCGCGGGGGTAGCAGCTCTAGCAGGGGACCCCAAACTTCCCTTTCCCGGGCAACATTAGCCAGCTCTGACTGGGGAATCCCGAGGCGTTCCCAGGCCAGTGTGGAGATATAATCTCTCTACCTTGTCCTGGGTCTTCCCTGAGGTCTCCTCCCAGCTGGACTTGCCTGGAACACCTCTCTAGGGAGGCGCCCAGGTGGCATTCGTACTAGATGCCCGAACCACCTCAACTGGCTCCTTTCTACGCAAAGGAGCAGCGGCTCTACTCCGAGTTCCTCTCGGATGACTGAGCTTCTCACCCTATCCCCAAGGGAGAGGCCAGCCACCTTTCTGAGAAAACCCATTTCGGCCGCTTGTACCCACGATCTCGTTTTTTCGGTCATGTCCCAGCTTTCATGCCCATAGGTGAGGGTAGGAACAAAGATTGACCGGTAGATTGAGAGCTTTGCCTTCCGGCTCAGCTCTCTTTTTGTCACAACGGTGCGGTGAAGCGAATGCATAGTATTTATTTTTTTAATGAATACTGTTTAATTGGTTGGTTTGTTGGTTGTTTGATTGCATTTTGATTGCCCTGTGAACCATCAGACCCGTGAGGCTTTGATGAAGATCCTGGGAGACTTGGCGGAGGACGACCACTTTGGCCTGATCACCTTCGACAGCTCCGTGTCTCCCTGGAGGAATGAACTGCTTCCTGCTAATCAGAATAACCTGGAGGCTGCCAAGTCATTTGTACAACGTATTCAAGACAGAGGAGGTCAAATTAACATTCGAATAAATGGATATTGTTTCAAGAAATATGCTAATAACTGTCTCTAGATCAGTATGTGTGTTGTACCACAGATGCTAGAATGCTAGGAAACAGTGGAAACATGCCTAAGAAAGTCACAAAATGTAATTTTTTTGTCATAGGCGTTTTGCAGCATACACTCATTTTGTAATACCTCTTAAAAACTCAATATACGGTACAGAAAACATTGCTAATTAATACATTTGTTGGACTTTTATACATATTGGTAATGTAGCATTTTATCTGGTGAAAATATAACCCATCAATATGTTGCCTCTGTTTCTCTTCAGCTACTGACATCAATGCTGCCGTGTTGAGGGGTACAGAGATGCTGAACCGACACCTCAGAGAGGGCACAGCCTCTCTCCTCATACTGCTCACTGATGGAGACCCCACCACAGGTACACTTACGCACAAGCTTGTTTTATCCTTCTAGTCCTGAGTCTAACCCCTAATGACTAAACTTAATTATAACACTAACCCTAATTGTTTTACACAATAAATATAGCCTCATAGACTGGGTTAGGATAGAACAAAATCAAGTTATGTTTTTTAAAAATTACTGTTCATGAAGCATATAAGTCACATAAACATAGGCACGTTACTTATTCTATATAAAGCACATACAATGTCCTACCTAACTCTAAGCCTTAAACCTAACTCTAGCCTAACCCCTAAACTTAACCCTAAACCTTACTCTTAAACCTAACCCTAATCCTAACCCACAACACCTAGATCTAAACCTCAACCTTGTTTTGATGATGATGTCCTTACACAATTAAAGCCAAAATACCTTTTTCAGGTGAGACCAACCTGGACAAAATCCACAAGAACATAAAAGAAGCCATTGATATGAAATTCCCGTTATACTGTCTCGGCTTTGGAATGGATGTCAACTTTGAGTTCCTGGAGAAGATGGCGCTGGATAACAATGGTGTGGGTCGCAGAATATATGAGGACTCTGATGCTGCTCTACAACTACAGGTAAGACAACACAGGTGATGAATTAACACTACAGGGGGCTGGAATACAATACATTTAACACAATTACAGTCTGAACATTCATGAACAACAATTATACCCACTGACTTTCATTTGCTAAAAAGAAACTAATGGGCTAAATGTTATGATATGTTGTAACTAGAAATTAATGTGAGATAACAAGGAAGCAACAGAGGTGGGACTAAAAGCCTTTATATTTTGATTGACAGGGCTTTTATGAAGAGGTGGCCACACCCCTATTGACAGATATACAGATGGTGTACCAGGGTGGGGCTAACCTGACCCAGACCAACTTCAGCCAATACTACAATGGCTCTGAGATTGTGGTGGCTGGCCAGATCACTGACAACAACATAGATTTTACAGTAGAGGTCATTGCCATATCGGTAAGATCCCCACTACTCTGTCCATTCAAAAGTTCATAGGTCAGTACACTACTTTCATCCAGATGTTGAATATTACAATATTTCAATGTTCAGTTCTATGACCTGAAGAACCTTCATTATTTCAGAAAAGCAACAAGGTGACATACTCAAAGACAAAACCAACAGAGGAACCCATTACAGTCACATCAGACAGCAACTTCCAGAGGCTGTGGGCCTACCTGACTGTAAAGCAGCTTCTGGACAAAGAGTGAGTCTATTGCATGGTATTTTGTCTGTAACTGGGTGTGTTTAATCTTTGTTTATGCAAGACCACAGCTGGATGTGTCTTTTGTATTCAATACACTTATTCCACAAAGCTAGATATTTGTCAAATCTATCCTGATTTAACATCTTCATATCTGATAACACTTAACCATTTAAGTCTCTCCCATATAATCTATATGTGTCTCCCACTAAAGACAACTTTGACTCCTGTGGGTTTCAGGGTTCTGTTGAGTGGTGATGAGAAAGAGAAGGTTAAGAACGAGACTCTGGATCTGTGTCTGAGGTACGGCTTTGTGACTCCTCTCACCTCCATGGTGGTCACCAAACCCCAGGGGGAGGAGTCACAGGTGGCCCATAAGCCCAAGGAGGGAGAGATGCCAACACGATCATGGCAATTGCTGTACGCTTTGTGTCAAAGAGTGTCAATCCATAATTAACTTGAATTATGTTTTTCTCTTAAGAGCAAAGGTCTTTCAAAAAAGTTGCCAGTCGACTGCGACTGCGGAAGCTGTTTGAAACCACAAAAAGCCTTAAAATTCCAGATATTTCTGGTAAGATAAATACCACACACCTAATCTTAAAACTAAAACCTGTAAAAAAAAAAACGTCAAGGACTCAAATAAAACATTTGATATTGTGTGTGTCACCTTAAAAGGTCGATTGTATTTTTGCCATCATCTGCGACGTTTACCTTGAATATAAAGACATTATTTCGACCAGATTGAACTCCAGCCCAGTCTAGGTTCAAAGTTTATAGGCAGGTCTCAATCTTGTGTGTAGTGCAGGGAAGAACCAAGAGCAGAGCGGGTAATGCACAATCGATAAGAATACAATACATCAAATAAACCAAACACAAACGGAAAACTGAGTGAAAATAAAATGCGCTTACACAAAGCCACTAATGGCTTACAAAAACCAGGGATTTTCCCGAACCAGGGATTTTCCCGAAACACAACTAACATCCAGCACTCAGCTAACTCGACGTGACATACAAACAACGAGAAGCTCAGTCCACACCCAGTGACTTAAGTAGCCCTGCTAATTAACAACTGAAATTAGCTACAATTTTCTTTCTCTCTTTTTCCGTCTCCTCTCTTTGTCAGGAGGTCCAGTCATTAGGTTCCTGTTGCCAGCTGAAGGTCAGGCTCTTCCACTGTGTTATGACATCCCTACAGGTCTCTCAGTTGGACTCCTAATGGACCCCAAAAATGGTGACTTGACCTTAGAAATAGTTCAAAATTCATTAATTATTTTTTTTGTCTACATCATGTACTGCTTGAAAACGTTTCTAATACATACTGTCCATCTTTCTCCAGATTTGTCTATGAATGGTCAGCTTGGACAGCCAGGAAGTGGGGGCTACCAAAAGATTGTTATCCATTATAGCGATCAACTTATTGACTTTGACACTAATGGCATCACCTATAACGATGGACAGAATGCCACATATTTCACCTGGAGTATCAATATCAACCATGAAAAAGACAGGTGCTGTCCAACTAAAAACTTCCTCTTTAATTTGTGATTTGTGCTTTTCTTTAATTTGTAGTTTGATTTTTGCTTCTGCGTTTTGTACAGTGCACGTTGTGCTATAGCTCTTTTAAAACAAGTGGTGTTTAGTGTAACATTCAGTCTAGTTTTTAATATCAGATATTTTGTGTTGACAACACATGGAAAATGTATTCGTGTAGCACATTTCATTCACAGTGCAAATCTAATTGCTTTAAACCATTGTCACTAATTGCAGAAAACCATTGTCACGTTTTGGCACGGCAGGATATCCATGTCAGTGAAATCCAACGCCCTCTCTCCCTCGTTTGGCACAGTTGTTTCATAGTTTCTTTTGCGCTTTTTGTGTCGGTCTTCGTTCGGTGTATGCCAACGTTACGTTTTGAGTATATTTTGTCTTGTGGTTTCCCGTTATAGTTACGTTTTTATTCAACGCTTGTCCTGCTCTGCGCTTGTGTCCGTCTCACCCATTTGTGACAACCATTATAAGGTCGAAATAAGCCCCAATTAACGAGGGCTTTTTAGAGAGACAAGAATAGTTTGATGATGTACAACCGTAAAACGTCTATTATTCTGCCGACAGAAGTCTGTTTGTCCCGTTTGTTTGTTTTTACTTAACCAGGTAGGACGATTGAGAGCAAATTCTCACTTGCAACAGTGACCTGGGGAGAAGCTGGGAATTGAACCCAGTACACCATACCTACAAAGCATGCGCTCACCCACTGAGCTTCCAACTCCTCCAAATTGACACTGTACATCTGAGTCATGCCATGTATCTATCCGCAGTGTGTCTCTGATCCTACAAGACAAGCAGATGGACGTCACCATAGGATCAACAACGGTAGTCATCATGCTTTATGAGAAGAATGGAAAGATGTTCCTGTGGCCCGTCCTGAGACAGCGGCCAACCGGGGACAACATAACTGGTATCATGGGTGAGTCAAACATCTACAGTCACACTTTAAAGACACACTTTAAAAGCTTGGAAGCCGCACATGATTTTCCATTGTATCAGGTTTAGATTTGTTATGGTATGTACACTGTGTGTTTCAGCCCGTCCACCTGTTGCTTACGAGGAGGTCCAGGGAACGACAATAAAACTTAAGATTCAGGATAAAGAAGTAGACGTCTCCAGGTAAGTTTAAGTGTCAATCGAAATGATCTGACAGTTCTCTGTTAGTTTATGTTACTTCTGCAGGTCTAGATCTCAGATGTGTAGTAAATATCAGATGTCAGATATTATGAACTGTCAGGTTCTGTGACATAATGTATTTTTGTTGTGTGTTGTCTGCATGTTTTAGGGACTCTGCTGTGGATCTTAATGTTCGCTCTGCCCCCACTGTGACCTGCTGGTTGATGTCACTTGAGTCTGCCCTACAGGGGGAGCTAGAGGACTTCACCGTCACACAACTCTAACTGGCCAAGATCTGCATCGATAACAAATTATTAATAACACATTTGGAGTAATGTATTTCTATAGTTATAAAAGTGGATCAACACATCATTCATGTAGTTTGTTGAGACACTTCTTCTAGTCCATTCCCAGAACAGCACAACATGTTGAATGAATACTAACAGGATTATCAATAGTATTGAATATAATCAAAAGGCATGTTCACACTTTGTTGAGGGAAAATACTGGGGACTTGAATCGACCTGAGGTGGCTGACCGGACCTCTGGACCATCGTAACCCGCTGAATGAGATTAATACAAAGTGCAACGTGTTTGCTGAAGGCAGGATGGAACACATTTATTGATAAAGAACTCGGTCGTATCGGCAGGACATAATAAGGAGACTCGAGTTTTGGGAGTTCACATTCATTCGTCAAACATTTCTGTGGTTTGTTTTCGCATTACCGACTTCGATAAGGTCATTTTTCCTGATAAAATTCAGACAGAAGATCAAAATAGTAAAATAGGATCTAGTCGGCGCCGTTAACACACGATGTCTCTCTGTCTGTCGTTCAGTCTTCCTTATATACACACTTTTTCACGTTAACATTAACACAGAGAAGACATACCAACCAGTGACGTGCGGTCAGGGGAGGCAGGTGAGGCACTGCCTCACCTGTCATAATCGGATTAAAAATAATTATCTGAAAGAAACTAAACGAATATAATAATAATTATTATTATTAGAAATTCAATTGCTGTATAATTCCAATCGTTTTTATAAAGACAATTCTCAAAAATGATCGAAATCTGCGGTGGTCGGCTGCAAAAAGCACAGGGAGAGAGAGGTGAGGCAGTGATCAGCTCTGCCTCCCCTGTGATTGCGCAACCCATCAGAAAATGAATGAAGCGCGGGCAATAAGCGCGTGCCTGTTTCGATCACTCGCTCCGCAGCAAGTAGACTACACTGGAGAGAGCGGTGAGGCAACGATCAGCTCAGCCTCCCTTGTGATTGCGCGAACCCATAAGACAATGAATGAAGCGCGGGCAATACGCGCGTACCTGTTTCAATCTCTCACTACATCGCCAATGTAATGTTTGTACTACTTTGTTTGTACTACATATCAACGACTTATATTATCCACGTAACTTATTAAATGTAGGCCTATATGTACAAGTTAGTGGTTGGCAGTGTGCGCTTGCTGTCTTATATATTTTAATTGCGATGAAAAGTAAGCAGGAGAGGCAGCTTTTGGGTCTGCCTCACTGCGGGGGCGCGCGTCTTGAAACCACGTCTATAACGCTCGAGCTGTCTCTCGGCTAGCTTGATCCTAGAAAGTGGCAGCAAAATGGCAACCGTCATTGCTAACCTAAAGAGTTTTGCTAAATTTTGGAGCAAAACATGAAATAATTCACAATGGAAGACCAACGCCTGAGCTTTAAAACGCGTTAAAACGACTCAAAACATACATTCGGAATCTGACTGGTCAAGCCCGACTTTCCTCCCTGGCAATCATCTCTATTGAGACCGAGAGACTTCTAAAACTGAAAGAAAATAAACAAGACTTCTACACCCAAGTGACGTCTTAGTGACCGATATATTTGTTCAGAAGGATAGGCGAATGGACTTCATTTTTAAGTAAAAGTAAGACCAAGCTACAAGTATTTGTATTTCTGTCAATGAAAAAGTGAAATTAAGCTGAGGTATGTTTTAGCATAGCAACAAGCGATGAGCGTCTTGATAGTCAACGAGGATTTCTATTTACAGCGCTGTCGTTTCAGCGTGCACGCTATAGTTCTAATTGCCTAACAATATGTTGTTGTATTGCTTTATTGGGCAGGCGGCCTGCCTGTCATGTACTATAGTAGCGGCTTATATCTGAGTAAATCTGGCTCTCATACTAGCCAGTGCCTCCCCAGCCAATGACTTCACCGCACGTCACTGATACCAAAATACACCCACCCACGCACCCAACCGCCCAAACACCTGTTAAGGTAATTCGCTCACACACACACACACACGCACAAAACACACTCAACCACACATTACAGCTCGTTTATGCACATTCCATTTCGATCACACGCAGACTCGGTCAACGTGGCAGCTTACTCCACCGTTCCAGTCCTGAAGGGTTGGGCCACTATCCGTCATATTCTCTTGACAGACACCCTCACCAAACTGATTTGGGACCATGATAAAGGGACAACAGAGGTAAAAAGTAAACTACATTTTGTCCTGAGGCATTTTAGTTTCCACTTTTCCTGGAGCTCATTTTAAAGTAAACAGCATTATTCCTCAGTACTGGGATATTTTGGCCCAAACCCTGGTTGCCTCTGCCAGCTTAATATTGTCTGCATTTGGAGATTACTGCAAGTCAAGCCTATGTATTGAATTAAATAGGTCAACAGTTCATAAGAGCACCAAGGATCAAAAGCAAGAAACAGGTGTGCTAATATTTTGACTCCACATCAGTCATATACACATTTGTGCTTTCGATTCCTATCCAACTCACACATGTATTTTCTACATTTGTAATTATAATTGTTCACATGTGTATATATAATCGTAATCTAATATTTGGAATCCGAATGAACCATATTGTCAGTAGCTGATGCACTGAATGTGCTTTGCAACACCCGAAGAAACATCAGCTTTGTTGTGTTTGTGACCAAGAAAACTTTGCAAACCCTCACAAACATATAAAGTGGTCGACCACATGCCTGTATTTGCTTTAGAGTTTCACTTACTGACAACTGTGTACAATGTAAGTACAAATATAGACTGTTTACTCTATTTAGATGTGAGATGCAGAGTCATGCCCCTGACAATTCATTCTCACCGGGAAACAGTACTAAAAAGATCAAAATGAGCTAGATCTAGATGTTCACAACTTGACCGACGTGTTCGTTACAAGGAAAAGGTAAAACAATACATCTAACCATAATTGTATTGGTTGGGCATGAAAAGGTCCAAGATGTCATGAGTGAAAGCCATTGAACAATCTAGGAATGCATTTTGGTAATACCTTGGTGAGGTGATTAAAACGATTTACAGGACACACTTCAGATGGAAACAAAGCCAACCAAAAAAAACGACATACTAAGTTTGTGATCTGTACAAAGAACAAAAACAACATGAACTGACATTTTCCACTGACAAATATATTTTTCTCCAGGCTCTTCAGACGGATCTTTACATCCCTTTGCTTACTCTCTGTAAACAGACAGACGTAAGGCGTGCTTTTTACTGTAAGCTTTATATTAGCTTTATGTTTTACAGATAACTATGACACACAGCCTAATTATATAGACTTTGATCCAGCTGAATAACACCTCGGTCACAGTTCTAACACAGTAAACAGTAAGACGCATATAACAAACAAAGACACACGGCCTCGAGCAGGGTTACTGGATACGGCTGCATTGACTATTATTACTATGTGTTCTCTGTCACAATGTATTTACTTTGACTGCTGCTGTGTGCGTAGCTGTCTGTCTACCTGTGTCTATGTGTGGATGTGTGTGTGTGTGTGTGTGTGTGTGTGTGAGAGACATTGGTTTACCATACCAGAGTGTTTATTGTCTAAGCTGAAAGCCACTACACTGTGAAACATTCATAGAAATCAATACTGGATTGTGTGGTTGTGCCTAGCCTAGCCCGCCTAGCTCTCTTAAGATGAGTATTTGTGTGAAATGCATTAACCGGAAGTTGCTCTGCAATGATTAACATGTACAGTGTAATAGCAAAACATTGGACTGTCGGGGCAGGACAAGGTCACGGTAGGAGGGACCATGCCGACATGTGACTCAGACTGCGCTCTACCTGTTACCTGGCAACACCGGAACACACCAACGCCAAGTATTGCTTGACTCTGGTTTTCGCTGGATATTTGATCGCCAGTCCTTTACCGCGGACATTCAATCGGCCTTTTTAGCCATGGAATGTAATTCTGCTTAAAAGTAATGTACTTTGATGTTTGACAGACAAACCTCCACAACAGACATCTACTTAAGTATTAAATAAGTCGATCTACGTTTGTCTGACTGCTGACTACGTCACAAAATTCCTAAAATGTTAGCTTATTTTCTCATTATGTCAAACCCAGGCTGTTATTCGTTTTTACGTTAGCAGTTGGAGTTAGGCATTTCTTATCTGGTGTTATAGCTATAATCACCAGAACTTTCTCTCTGTGTCACTCAGGTGTTACCCTCCAGTCCTCAGACTACTCGGATATTGAGCACTTGGCAGAAGTCCAGACTTAACCAAAGCCCGATGACAGAATATGGGACTAGCTCGACTTGTTTTCTTTGTTTTACCAGAAATGCAGGCGTGTCACTGAAGGGGTTG